TTCGTAAATTGAAAGTGGTGTCGGGTTATTGTAGCACTAAATCTTTCCATAAATTTAATATGGTTGTAGATCACCTAGTAATGTGTCCTTTCTCTATTTAGAACTTCGGTTAAGGGGATACTCTTTTTAAATCTTGGCAGACAGAGAAATAAGATAAGATTGAGGAGATTGGATGAGAGAGATAGCAGTAAAGGAACGGCGTTGAATGCATGGGTTATTATAGTGTGGACGTGAAAGTGCCACTACTGTAAATTAGAATAATTTGAAATGAAATATTCCGCGTAAAATGATATCCTGATATTCTTGGTTTGGAAAATTCGGATCTTGTGACGTTTGATTAAAATGGTATGGCAAAAGGAAGGCAGGAAATGGAAAGATATTGCAGAAAGTGTTCCGCGACAAATGGCAAGAAAAATAGGATTTCGAATGAAAGTAAGCCGTTCCATTATTTGTCACTTGGGGTGACAGGGAAGGTATAGAATATGGACTAATGGATTCTTCGGGGGTTAAGTGGTATGCAAAAGGTCGGACAAGTAAAGATGGCCGCCACCGTTATTTTAAAAAATAAATTTAAGATGCATTAATATATATTCGATATATACTATAAATTAAAATATATAAAATAATATATTCATTGATATATTAAATATTCAAAATATTTTAAATGATAAATGAAAGAGCTAGGTAAAGTTACAATTTTGTTAAAAGAAATGGAATTGTATGTACTCTAACTTAATAGAAACGGTTACAGAGGATAATGGTGTAAACCTTTTTCTCCTATAATTAAGGAAGATGATACGTCGTGAATATAGGTAGTGAGTTAGTGGATAACAATTTTAAAAGAGAAAGCTAAGGTCGTTTAAACGATCGTAAAGTTACAAGGAAAATTATTGATGAATAAATAATTCGTGGGATGGCTTGTTAATTCTACTGAACATAAACTGTATTACGAACAAGAACACCACATTTAAAGGAGAAAGTAGAAAAGTACTAATGACGTTAATTTGAATATAGTTTCACAGACACGCAACGATTCCATTATCTTAAAAAATTATAAAAAATCAAATTTCCAACGAGGCTTATTCGATCTCCATCTAGAACTCAAATTCTAAACTTCTGATTCAAAATTTGTTATATGTTAATCTTTTTGAAATTTAACCACATGATTCAAAATAATATAGACCACTGAATAAAAAGAATAAAATTAATTACTATCAATTATAATTATAGTCAAATGTTTACTTAATTAATTAATTTAAAAAATCCAATGTAACCGTTATATATCAATAAGAAGAACAAAATGTAAAAAAAGAAATTAATTATCACAAAGTATATCACTCCTGATACCAAACTATTATTTAAATCATATTTTTATAGAATAAACGCGTCATAAATAAATTCAATTGGTGGAATCAACTGACTCACCCCGTATAACAGGCTCCAGGGAAACCTAACTGGTACAAGAATAAGGGAAACTGATCGATTGGATTATTGGATAGAATTCAAAACCGTATCTCTAGGTATATATCTGTAGCCAGCTAAAACTAGCTATCTCTAAAGTCACTAGATACCTGTCTCGCTCTAAACCTCGCTCTCACGATACTGCCTGCTCTTAAGAATACTCGCCACACACGCCTAAGTTCATCACACGTTTGTGATTATTTCTTGCTCACTCTCACGAACTCACAGAATTCTAACTTTCCACGGTTAATGCACAACTTTCTTATTTCTAGAGTATTGCGAACATAAATAGACAATGGTATAATAAGAATTCAAATCTTACCGCGCTTTAACTACGTAAGATAGAGAGGTGCCTCTAGGTCGCCATTTTTTCCGGACGCTCTTTCCAAAAATATCGATATGGACGATCCACGAGAAATTTTAGAGTGATGGAGAGAAGAGATGGACTCAAAATATGAATTTTATATTATTTCTCAATCACTGCTCGTTGCGAATACTTTCCTGAAAAATAATAATGGATGACTGAGTGTTGGAGGAGAGTGTGAAACCAAAATATAAATTTCAGTTTGGATATTAATCGGTTTCTGTAATAATAATCAAAATTTTTCTGCACTATACCTTGATATCGTACCGATGTTAGTAAAACAATAGTATATTGGGTTTGCGTACCTACTAAATAATTCACTATAGGCGTTTCAATATGGTGGATATCGTCGTTTACAACAAAACTAGATCAACAGCAACTTTCAATAAAATAGTGAAGAGAAATTTGGGAAAAGCAATATCTCAATACTATACTATACTATACTATACTATACTATGCCACATATCACTAATTATACTATATTATACTATAATACAGTATATGATATAATATAATACATAATACATCATACAATACAATACTATACTATACTATACCACATATCACTAATTATAAAAGAACAAAAATTGCTGATATCCATCAGGTTGTCAGTAACAAATTAATTAGTCAGATAACTATCAGATAATTAACATTTCAATTCTTTAAAATTCCATTTGAGATATTCCTTTGCCCTTCAAACTTTCCCATTAGAATTTCTACTCCCTCGATCTTCCCCGAACATCCTTAACTCCCATCGCAATCATCGCGAATTCCGTGACTGCTTTCTATTAAAAAGAAGAAGAAAACAAATAAAATAAAATAAAATAAAATAAAGAAAGAACGAAAAGAGGAAAAAAATGAATAAATTAAGAAATTACGCCTTACACGTCAGCCATATGCACATTTGCATGTTCAAAGTTGCCCACCAACCGCCGGTATTAGTTGCATGTCTGTTTCTTCCCGTTACAATACGCAGAAATATTTTTGCATGCATGCCGTGGCCCGCGGAACACCTCGAGATTTCATAAGCGTTTCCTCGTTAACAAACGCCATAGGTAGATAGAGAAAGAGGCACAGAGACGAATGGATAGAGAAAATAAAAAAAAAAAAAGAAACTAGTTTCCCACGATATTTCATCCCCGAGTCTGGCATCGATCCATCAAAAAAACCCTAGGCGAATTTTTCTGTCGCTTCCATAACCATGCTTCCGCGTACACGCATTTTTCAACGCATCGCGAAAGTTCCTACACGTCGAACACGTGGAAGCGTGACTCTCGTGATCGTTTGCGGGATCACGCTTCCACATTAATGAGAAATCGATCGGGACTTGATCGAACGAGTCTCGCGATCTGTGTGTGTACGTGTCGCGAGAGAGCCGGGAATGCTTCGAGCACGATCGACGATCGAGCGTCGGTGAAATCGTATAGAAATTCATTTCGTTGCCGACACCAGACGTTATGATATCTCGCCCGTTTATGAGTCATTACGTTCTCACGATATCTTCGCTGTAAACGTCTAGAGAAATTTTATCGGCCACCATTGCTACGAGGTGACGAAGAGTTTGGTAACAAGATCGGTAGATTGAAATTTGTTGCTGAATATTTGGAGAGTAGGTTTGCAAATGGACTGCATTAGAAACGAACAGCGAGAAGTACAAGTTTCGGTTGAACCATTGATTCGACTGGTTTGCTCGTTTTAAGTACTTGAGTATGTACTTAAAATTTTTGCAAAATAGGTTTCTAAGATTTATGTACCATGAAGTTTCAAATTTGGTTCGTATTACGTATACTTTTATGAGCTATTTGCGTGCTTTAATGTTGTTGAACTGTTATGTTATATGGACTGTAATACTGTTACCAATGTAAGGTAACAGTATGCGTAGATTATTATATAAATGATGAAAATGGTGTACAAACTTTAGTTTACTGTTATACTTATTCAAAAACTATCGATATTCAACATTAATAAGGAAATATTTAAAAAGAATGATATGCCTACTATTCTCAGGAGCTCCTATAGAAAAACTTAATCCTAAGCTCAATTTTAATCCTATGTCCTAATGCTTCAAATAATCTCACAGAAACGTTTTATTTATCATCTGCCTGCTATAAAAGAAATCATTGCACTAACAAAACATTAAAATGAATGATTTAACCGTTTTACTGCCAAGGCACTTGTACAGACTTAAGCATTTGACATTGTTACTTGTATTTACATATAAACAGTTTATTATATTAAAAAATGCTGTATCAATTATGATATGATATCAAAAAAACTTTTTTACATAATGAACAGTTTATAATTTCAGGTAGCAGAGTTAAATGACTCACCCTATATATATCCGCTTCAAATATATCCGTAATGGTTTTTATAGGTTAGTTATATCATACCTTCATTAAAGTTACATTATAGCTTATTATGCTAATCCTTTGCTAATACCAAAGAAATATATACATGTCCTCTATCACATAAAATCATTTTTATCCTCATTTCCATATGTTACACAAAAGTTGCTTCGACTTTGAACCAAAAATATCTTCAATCCTGAGAGTATTAGAACAAAAATGTTCAGTAAAAACAGGAATAGTTATTATCTAAACAAATGATTACCATCTTCGAACAATTCCTAGCAGCCAATGTCCACGTGAATACAAAAACTAGCACTCTTTTTTTCACCCAATCATACGACACAAAAAGTTAAATTACAATGTATACTCATGACTGACAGTTTTCGCGTTATTCAAAATCACGCTGGCCACCGTGGACGGGAAAAGAACCAGTCTAGGGACTTTTATACGCGGGCTCGCGTGGGACAAATTACGTCGTGACGCAGCCATGCGCACAAGGAATAAATCGTCGTAAACGCGCCCAATGCCCCGTACTCGCCACTTTAGTTCCGTGCCATTACGCGTCGAAAGAACAAAGGGAAAAGTCGATGGAAATATATTTTTTTTTCTCTCTTTCGATGTTAACGGTGAAACCTCTTCTCTGGTCGCAATTTGCGACAAGCAAGAGTCGTTACTCGCGCGAACGTACATACGTTTACGCGTTTTATATTCGTACAAGGAAAATTATGATTATTACGTCGAGCGCATAGTTACGAAAGAAATTCATTTACCACTTCTTGCGACTCCTTCGTTATCGTTTTCGCGCGATCGCTAAATAGTTGCTGCAGCATCGAGGATCTTCTGTAACGATCGACGTTGAGTTAAAAGAGAAGAAAATGTATCTATAAATACAGTTTATTACCTTGTCATTTTTCCGAACTTCTTATTGAATTTGTAATTAATGACTGATAATGATTTGTCATGTAGGTTTGATACGAGTCGTTTAGTGTATGTTCATAATTTATATCCACTTTCTTAAGCTTTTAACCAGGAAGATCATCTATCGAGAATACCCGCTACACGTGTTATGGAAAACGTAAAGAGGACGAAAAATGCAAAATATCATAACTTGCAGCTTACACGGATACTAAATGGTAGGAAACATAGAGATTTAGCTTGTTATAAAAATAAACGACGATGAAACTTTTAGTTGCCTGTGTAGTTTTTAAAATTCCACGTTTTGCATGGGAAAGCATTTTTCATTGACGAATTAACTCGTCATCTCCAGTTAAAGATTCTGCATACGACAAAGACATACACCGGTAGATTTGAAATTAAAATAAATATTCGGGCGTATGTGATAAACTTCTGTTCCTCCTAATTTACATTCTTTAAAGCTACAAAAAGTGAGAAAAAAGCCATTGAATTGTGAATAAAACATAGAAGTCTGGAAACTTTGAACGTAAAATGAAACAATGTAGAAAACCTTAAATCATTGTGAACGGTCGAACAATAGGAAAATAAATATTAATATCGTAATTGTATAGTCGTGTTCCCCACAAATTACGATAATGGACCTGGGAACTTAAGTTCCCTTAGTCTCCATGCTCAAGGTGCCCCATCCATTTCCTCCATTAACGTGAACTCGTTGATCTTCGGAGAACTGCAAATGCGGTAAGTGACGTTCTTTGCCATCGATGCGCTTGGAAAAAATATCAGTCACTCGCTCTTAAGCGAATTTCAGCCCTTAACTCACCCAAGAAAGTAAATATAGCTTGAAGAAGATAAGAAGAAAAAAAGTTGCATTAATAAAGTTTCTCTTTTTCCTATTTCATTGTGTAATAAAAAAGTAAATTCTGTTATAGTTACCACTTTAATTCTCTTTCTAATTTTCTTCTATTTCTAATTTTTCCCTCAACTTCTACCTTTTTCTAAGAAAATAAATCAGTAATTTTCAATAATTTTCCTAGTGAAACATCTGAAATTAAAAGAAGAAAAAATATGTAAAAACATACTTTGAGCTTATATACATTACATTCTCAACAATTTTTTGCCTAATGCCAAAAAATAAATTCATTGCATATTTTTTCAACATAAAAATAAAGAACGATTTTAAGGAAAACATTGACTTAGTGATTAAAAAACTATGAGGCAAAAAGGAGGTTATTTGTGAGATTTATTAAGAACTAGCGTTGAAGACTCGTTGATTAAAATGGCAATAAAAATAAACACTGACGATGAAGAACGGAAGTTGATACCGTGACAATACAATGCCAAGGGTGACTGGCTATGAAACGAAACGCGCTATTGGGGTCGCAATAGGAACCGTAAAGAAAAAACCAGGAACCAAATAGCGTCTACGAGTTTCTAACGAACTTTTCGTGTCGTGATTTATGTAGTATCGTAGCTGACACTCCCACTAATTCTCCATTCCAAAACGAACAACATTCGCCTTGTTGTTCTCAACAAGAGTGTAACAATTATTTCCGTCAAAGGACAAAACTATGTTAACAATGACGAAACAGAGCCAAAATGTCTTTGGGATATCTGTAAAAGTAAAAAAAAAGAAGTAGAAAAACGTTTTGAAACAATAAAAAAATAAATAAAAAATGAATTAAAATAATGAATTAAGAAAATAAAAAAATTGGATGAAAAAAGAACATAAGTATTCCATAACCTTAAAAACGGATGACGGGATAAGCAGTAGGGAAATATTTTAAAATATGTAACATGCATTAGCATACAGCTCCTAATGCTTGATACTTCAGTTGATACTGAAAAAACGAAGTAAAAAAATAAACAGAATAAAAAAGCCTTCAAGATGGAAAATAGTACGAAGATTAAGATATAACGTTGTACGAACATTTTTCATTCTGACACTTGAACGGTACTTAAAAAATAATTTCCACATTCTTGCAAATACCTTAAGATCTATTACCGTGTACAAGTAACACGGTAAAACGTACACACAACACGAGCACAGTCGAGGCGTTAGAATATCTCGAAGCACTCCAGTGCGTAATTCACGCGGCAAATCAAGCCTCGTGTAGGAAGTTACGCAATCGGCCTCTCTCAGCCGTGTCTCGATAAATTACATAATAAATGTCTCATAACTAAATTATGTAAAAGCGAACGGTACGACGATACGTACAGATACCCCCGTCCCTGATACAAATTTCCACGGTCGAAACAGAACGAAAACGAAGCTAAAACGAAATAAACATTGGCGGCCATTGAGCATGTACCATCTCAACTCCCTCTTCCCGTAAATATTCAAACGAATGGCGAACAGAAGCAATAGAGTTCGAAGAGTGGTTCGAATATGGGCCACCGCGCTTGAATCGATTTTTTCTCGATCGGTAAACAAGCATTCGAATAATCCTGCTTGATTTCCATTCGCGCGCGAGCATCGAAGTGCTGGTAGCGAAAACAGAGAAAAAGACGGAAAATGCGGACAAACGGTGGTATTTGTTGGTCGAAAAATAAAGAGAGGAACGGGTCGACTCGACCATTCCGACGTAACTAGCGGAATGAAGCAGCGGAGTACAACAGAAGCAAACGGAATGAGAGAATGGAAACGACGAAAATAAATAGTTGAACGAAGGAAAAAGAGATGGCGATGGGTGGCTAGGGCTAATGAATAAAACGTATTATCTGTCGAGAGCAGGGTGTCCCGTTGAAGGAAGAAATTGTATCACGGATGTACACGAAAGATAAGTCTTAGTCGATAACGAAGTACGACAATGCCATTGAAAATCTAACTAAAACGAAGAAACGAGCGAAAGAGACTGAATTCCATCGGTAACAAAGCGGAGGCTTGGGTAGGCGTATCCACTTTGTTTTCCTTCTTTTCTCTTTCTTTTGTGGATGACAAACTAATCCGAATCGCATTTCTGTATTGAATTAAACTGCCCCACGAAAATAACGAGATTCCAGCAACGAATCCGTTGGGGATTTGCGTAAGTATTGTTCCTTCCACGCGTTCTCGGGACTGGAATTAATCGACCGGTTTAAATCGCCCCTCGTTCGATCGTCGGTAAATCGGTGAATTTGTATGCAAGTTTTTGTCCTCGAGGAGCGTGTTTTTATCTGAAATGTCGTTATCGGTTGAGACGAGAGTCTGACATTGGAGGAATATCCGATAAACAGGTAAATTATTCAATTGCTGGTTCTTCGTTGTTTGTTGGACTAAATCTATCCACTACTATTATATCGTTATTTTTGTATCCTTGATAATTACTGTAATTTAAAAAGTGAATAGTATCCAAATTTTTGCCACTTTTATTCTTTGCCACTTCGAAAACAATTGGAAAATTTACCTCGAAAATTCCTAAGTAGAGGACAATGTTAGCTGTTATAAGAAACAGACTTTTGATAATTATGTAAAAAATTAGTAACTCACAGGTTGTTAAGTGTTCAACGTTTCTCGTTTGCTTTAAACTTTCCTCATTATAACTGTACTTCCATTGAAGGACAAAACAGAAGAAAGGAAGTCATATTCTCTTCAATTCCACATCTCTTAGACAAGAATTACAGTTCTATTTAAAAAAACATAATTCTTTTTTTACTATTCATCTCAATAACACTTTCAAATAAAAAGTACACACTTCATTTTTCATTATCACCGTTAAACAATGTTTCACTTTACCACCTAATCTTCGCGTTTACACATAGGTTAGAAATACACCTATCGAATTCTAAACGAACCACTCGACTATCGATTATTAAAACGAGATCGAGAGGAAGAGAAGTTCACTGTTTACGTCTTTCCTGCGATCGATACGAGAGGTCGCCTGCAGTCTCTGGCATTGTACAGACACAAAACATCGTGCAAGATAAGGTTGTGCGGGACAATCGTCTGGTTAGACGCATCAGGCTAATGTTTTTCACGTGGCAGACGTGAGAAGCGAGGTGCCTCTGGCTCCAGGTTCACTGCCACGAGCATTATTACGCAAGAAGAGTCTACCGTTCGTTCCTCCTGTTACGCCTTAACCGCGCTTAATTAATCGCCTAATTGCCGACCTGCCAATTAAACGACCTCTGGTGTTGGCACGAGTTGAGCTCGTCGGATCAATTTTCTCCGACTTATGCAGATTCCACGGGGGATCTCTACTAAACACCTCCAAATATACGCACTAAGCATGCGCATTTTAAAGTTTAAAGATGTATTTTACCAATGACTATAATTTGATTTAAACGCTTCCCACTGGGAAATTGATAATTCTCGTGGATGCTAATACAAGAGGAATTATGCAGAAGAATGGTAAATAATAAATTATATAATGAGAAGTAAATAGAATAATATAATTATAGTACAATTTAATAGGAAATATAAGTCCACAGTGCAGTGGATATCATGCAATTGAATAATAACAGAAGAATCGCTGAGAAGAATAACAAAAAGAAATGTGAACTGCGGCCTAGGTAATGTTTTAATTTACTATTTCTGTACTCGAGAATATTTTCTTACTTTTCAATTTTTTCATAATTTTTATATCTTTTTAGAACCAAACGTTGCTACGAAATTTGTTACAATTTTTACCAATAATGAAATCCCCATCAAAATTTTCGGAATCCAACAGAACGACATAATCACGATCACTATGATCTGTCTAATAAACCGCAAGTGATATGCCATCGACAGAATTCAAGGTACTAATTTTCCTTTCTAAAAAACAAAAATTTAGGTTAGTACAAAAACACGTTATGTTTAACAACATTTCTGACACCCGATACTAATCTTTTGTTCATAAAATAGATTTAATTTCCCAAGATTAGTAGTATCTCGTACATTATATTATATAACAAATTTAATCTGGTTTTATCTTTACGACTCAGGTTTCACAAAATTTGTCACAACTCAATCCCGAGGAAGCGAGAAAGCTGTGAACGTAAAAGCGCACCAATTTCATCGGATGAAGGCATGAAATTAACCATGAAAATACGGTTACGACAGGAAAACGCCACTTTCGATCACCTCGAAGCGAAAAACCGATCGCCTAATGGATACGAGTGGTCAGCAATGAGAAGCGATAATTTGAAACTCATTAGACGCGAAACGAGAAAAATGCCAAGCGTCTAGTTCTTAATGCAAATTACAGGGTAGCATTCGAACGATGGAAAAGGAGAAAAATAGCAAATGACAGTAATTAAACGACACACGTAGTTACTACAGGCCCAACACATCCGCGGGCCTATGTAGACGCGTGTACGTATATATATACACACGTGCGTACAGTCAGTTGCGTTAGTTTAATCTGAAAGATCCCGGAAACTGGAAGCACCGGGCGAATCCCACGTTCGATTCAATGGAGACTTTAGCGCGACCTTAAGCCGTATACGCAAGTACAACGACCCCTGCCGCTAATTATTCTCATTAACGGAAAAGCTGGAATCCGTAGTATTGCCAGGAATGCGAAGATCTCGAAGGAGGATACCTTTTATGTACACCGCTGGCTGCTAGACACAATTGTAGTAGTTTTTATTACCTGCTGTTACGATCAAACTCTTGGAACGTTATTTAACTATCTGTTCGTTTCTTCAAAGGGGTCTTAAAATGCCATAATGAACGCCATATGTGAATGCGAGGCAAAGTCGAACGGTGATTGGTGAGTTTATGTAACTCGCCCTTGCTTCTTTTTGTTTCTAATTGATTCCAGTTTTTCCCTACTTATTTACTGTTTTTTTAGGTGCTGCTTTAAGGTGATTGAAGAATATCCTGGAAATTTTTATTTGGACTCTCTAAATGCTTTAAAAAATTGCCTTTTTAATTATCTTTTAGTTGAACTTACTGTAAGTTTTTTTCTTTTTTCCTTAAATTATAGTGTTCAGTAGATTATTAAGTTATAATACTTTTCTTTCATTGTTTGATCTTTTAGAGAAGCAGAGGGAGATTCTGAAGAAAACTTGGATTTCATAAACAGTACTAAATATGTGATTCTATTTGATAGTTTGGAATCCTCTTTAACTATCTGTTCATTCTGCAAAAGAATTTAAGGAAAGCCATAATAAATGTTATGTGTGATTGGAGAGTGAAGTTGAATGAAAATTCAATGATAATTTTATATAACTTATTCTTGTTTCTTATTCAAATAAATAATCAATAAATAGATGTCTATTTAATTTAATTTTTTAATTTAATCCTTTGCCGAAAATAAAGTATAAAAAGGGGCTAAAGTATAGCTATCCATTTGATTGCGCAAATTGGTTGTGGAAAACAGAAAATAGAATACTCTATGTTTCATGCAAATTCCTATATCTTTGCATCTACTTTACAGCAGGATGTTGAGATTCAGATAGAAATAATTTGAATGCTAAATTGCCACCTGAGAGCAATGGTACTACAAAATACTATTAAGACTAATTGCTGCCACTATTAAGGTTAAGATCTGATTACTTTTTGGTGTGAATTGATACAAATGCTAATTTGAAAATATTAGAAAGCCACAGAGAATATACTTAAAGTAATTGTACGTCAGACTACAAGTTAGAAAGCAAAATACAACAATAATCTATGAAAGATATCTCTTACAACAAAGTGACGGAAGAAATGCTGTACCATTAAAATTTATGCCTTTTCTTTGAATTTCATTTCTTGTAACAAAAGACACACAGTGTGAACCAACACATTGTTACCTCTTTCAGGTACATTCAAAATACAAGCGCCAAAAATCTGATTAAAGATCAAAATTTACTAAAACCAAATTTACTGCAGACGTATAAATAAAAATGAAGACTACATCATAATAATTTAGTATAAAAACTCTAATACATTAAATACGGTACTGAACAAAACGATAACTCTACCATAATAATATCCTTCCTAGCCAATTTAGAAAAATATAATTTAATAATACTTAATAATAATTTAGTGTAGCAAAAGAATAACCAATTTACTAAAAATAAAAAAGAAATGTAATACTTATCAATTAATAAATAAAATACCTGTATCAATAACCATTATTCTAGGTCCATTAATTTTATCCAGGCACTTGCAATCTCCCTACAAGATCGTCCAAGTCTCAGACCCCGAGTAATCGATCTACACATGGATCCTCAGGTCGTGTTTCTCGTCGTCCAAAGTATTTGATATCGCAACCCGGCAATTAATTAGAGCCGCTGAAGGAGCACAGCTTATCACGAGAAGCTGGAACTCCCCCAGGAAAGTATAGCTTCTAGTTAGGTTTAATCTGAAATTCTGGAAAGCCCGGTGTATATTCGCACCGCATAACGAGCCCGCATTAATTAAGTTACACTTCCGTCCGCGAACGGAAGCAACGAAGAAAGTTTAGCGTCCAGTTATCCCGCGACCTCTGCAATGCGAATTTCACCGCCAAATTTCTGACCTCCGTGTAAGGATTTCAGTTGAATCGAACACCGAAAGAATCTATGAATATTTTTGTTACAGTCAGTTTGTTACGATAGAAGTACCGTGCAGAGCTGGAAAGAAATCTCGCAGGGGCATGATGGGTACTTTCTACGCTCCGTCGCCATCTTTGATGCACCGAAAATCTCCACGTTTAAGTTCCTGGTAAAGAGAACAGATATTGAGAGTATTGAGATATCAAAAAAGTTAAATTGATATTCCTTTCATCTTATATTAAGGATTAACACTGACCTTATGCCCACATTATAGCTTTGTGGAACTTTATAACTGTATCTCTCTTGATTCTCACGTATTTTATTTGTTCGCTTCGTCAAACGATGCTATATGATGTGATTTGTAATTATAATACTTGCTGCCAATAACAGAAATTCGCGTGCTCAATATCTATAATTGTGTGAAATATATAATACTCTTGCTTTTATATTTTCAGATCTAACAAAATGTTCTGAAATTTTGTTACATTTTTTATTAATGTGTAGAATTAGTGTACCAGAAACCATTTTGTATCAACTAGGTGAGTATTCACTGACCTATAAATGGGTTTTGCAATCTAGCAATCAACATTTATTTTTTGAAGTTATGTGTAAGAGATAACACTGGAGGTTATATGATAATGATAATGATAATGATAATTATTACTGATTATGTAACGAATATAATGAACTCTTCTAAGAAAATAAATAATAATTACAATAATCATTAGAATAGACTATTAAAATTGTTACTGCTACCAATTCCGTACATTACATTTTTTTACATAAATTAGTTTTGAATAGACATTCCTCCTTTAATAATAATATTGACTAGAGCACGCAAATTTGAGCGAAAATGAATTAATTCTGATAGTTGCCACATAACGACGATTATATAATGCGGAATAAAAAAAAACTAAAAATAACAAGCTTAAAAATCGTATACAAACGTACGGTCAATTTTTTCCCTTCCTATTACGTAAAACGTTCAATGAATTTTTACTATGAAACTTTTACAATTATACATTTCCACCAACTGCAGTTATTCCCAAAATATTTTTAATAATATGTGTTTCTCTCTATTTTATGATATTCATCGTATCATGAAAATGCTATACTTTTTCATACATCTATCAATTTTTCGGTAATAAATCCAATAAAACTGGCATCAAATTTCCCTTAAATTATATTCATCTCGATACCAAAAAGATGGTTTAATATTCAACTAAATTTTTTGTCCGAATACCTGAAACGAAACGTAGTTAAATATCCACAGAAAAAACATCGAAAAAAATTAAAAAAAAAAAAAAAATATCTTGGACAAGTATATCTCTTACCTTATTTTTACAAAATTTATTATAAATAAATGTCAATTCATTTCGCACGAGTTATCTTTTCATTCTACCCACGATCTTGACAAGATAAAAATATACCACTATCCTCTTTTACAAGTATACTCTCCTCCATTCTACATCTAATGGAACATACTATAAAAGCCGACCTTTATAAACCATGGAATATGCATCGACACATTTTCTCGACTATATTCAAGCACGTGTTTTTCGCGAATACATTGCTGTCCCTTGCGAATGTATCACCTTCATTATTCTTTACTCATTATGTGAACATGTTATCGCGATAGAAGAAAGGAAAAGATTTTTTGCACAGAAGAAACTTGTTCATTGTAAACATGTTCGTATCGTCATTTCTCCACATGTCAAATCGTTTTAACCTCTACGGCGAACCTGTTACCGCAAAAGACTGCACGAATAAGCTGTCTATATTCACTTTCTATATGAAATTCTAAATCGAGTATTTCACACTAACTGTTCGCGTTAATCGTTTGAGTTCCTGTACACGTCGAAAACACTTATCGAAAAATATTAATCTATTAATATTATCAAATGACGCGATCGCGATTATTTCGATTTACACTGGAAAACACTAGATGGCACGATCGCGTTCTGATTATTTTAAGCATCGGCAGATCTGAGATGGCGTTAGGGTAGAATTCCAATGCACTGTCAATAATACGTTGCGATACAATACAATGGCACATTTTACCATGAAATCTACATTATCGTGTTGCATGGTATTGAAACGATTAAATTATATAAATAGATGGCAATAGAAAGCTAAGATAAATGAAAATTAATAAATTAAAGAATCCATACATTCCTCAATAAAATCCCAATTACAAAAATATATTTTCCTCAAATTATTTTCAAATTTTTTAAACAATTCAATAAATCAGTCATATCTTGCACAGATTCGCATTAATAGGAAAGCAAAATCTTTGACGAAATAAAACGTAAATAGCATCACGTTAAACACAATCTGAGAGTCCGTTCAGTTCCTATTGTAAAGGCAATCGTGTGCACGCGCGCGCGCTTCGCCCTCCACATTAGGCAGCTCTGCAATATCCGTCGAGTCGTATTGGCTTGGCGAAACTGTGGATTATTGGTTTTATCGTGGTCCGTGCCGCAGTAGCGCGCAGATTTTATTCTCGTCTACACCGCATTCGCCGATCGCGCGTATTACCCTCCGAGAACTGCCTTTGATACACAGTTCGGGATATCACGGATAACGCTTGGTAAATATTCATCAGGAACACTATGCTTCCGGTTCTTCGCGCTTCGATCTGATTCGATGGGGCTTCGAGCTGAAGGAATTATTGTCTGAACGATCTCGGTGAGAGTTTCATTTTATTAATTCGAAATGTTGAGAGATTCTCGTGGTATTTCGTAGCGGCTTTCGTTAAATTCTTCCTGTGTTTAACGAGATCATCGAGATGTTGTGAAGGGAAGATTGGTTAAACTGATAGGCTGTAACTAATTTACGAGACTTTCGACTGAGCATCTTTTGTTGGCAGAAATTTTTAATTTACGTTCTATGTACAAGTCAGTATCGCGAGACTAAATTTTTTCAAGATGAATGAATGTGTATGATAAACAAAAATTCAAATCGAAAGTGTAAAAATAAATGCCTAAACGAAGCTCTGACAAACTCTATAATCGTTATTTAAATTAAAAAATTTCAACGAGAATCTAACCTGTACTATCGCTCACATCAATCTCCATTCAGCTGCAAGTGTCTCTAGCATCCTGCCATACCAAATTTTCATACATGTCCCACGAGTAAATCCGACGAAAAGAAACATTCCTCCACGCTCGAACCACGCAAAGAAAAGAAAGAAAATGGAAAAGAAGAGAACAATTACACAAAACAGCCGGGGTAATAAGAGAACCCATTAAGGTAGCCACCCCTGCGAATCGCAGATTCCACGCGCCACCTCGCGGCACTATTCCACTGCTTAGAATTTATTCTTAGCAACCGACTATTTAGACCCCAAGATTCCCTTGATTCGCTCGAAATTCTTCGACGAAAAGCTTCGTAGAAATTTTGATTCCGCTCCTCGATCACGTCCTCTGCACTCTCTCTTTTTCTTTCTCCCGCCATTGGGGGCCCTGCTCTGCGTACATTCAAGACCCCGGTCTCGTACGAAGTCAATTACTGGTTACTCGGTTACTCGCCGATGCGTGCTGCGCCCAAGTGTAGAGACGCTTGCCCGCGCATGCGCACGGACGCGTGCAGGAGTGTACGCGGACGTACACGGGGCGACGCCGCGTATCGTAATTCGCAATTTGCCCGAGCATTCACCTTCGAATTCCCGTTACTCACGTTCCGTATCGTCGTCCTACACTCGACACCCGAGGCACCGCTTCGGGCGGCCGACGAACAGCCGTGTACCCCAAGCCGCGAATCACGAACTGACTCGCGTGACCAACGCAGTTTTCCTAATTTCGCGTGGTGAGAATGAACTGTCGGTCGATTTCGAAAATGCCAGGAAAGCAAAAGGGATAGACGATAGAAAATTTGATTTGAACAAGGATCAAGTGATATTATAGGTTAGACAAGCTCGGTGCTGAAGTCTTGGGACAAAATTCAAGGTTAGGTTCGCTGGTTTCGATACATCTGCAATATCTAATATCACGAAATTTAAATTAGGTTTATTTTTTTGGAAAATTTGTTCATATATTAGCATAAATTTGCGTGTGAATTACCAAGTGAAGTTATATCTCTTAATACCTCATACTAGTTAGTTTTCAAATGAGTGCAATGCTTAAAAATTCCTAAAACAAAAATTATGAGGTGGGAATGTGATATGAATATACATATAAATATATATTCACTCACCTATAATGAGGACCGATTTGAAATTAATATGCGAGAGAAAAATATATAGTTACCCAAGATTTACATATTTTATACGAATTAAGTAAAAGAAATTGTAAAACAGAAACAAAATGCATGCACATTGTATGAAAGATGTATCCACATAACAGTCATTTGAATCTGAGAGCGAGAGTCGTTTCATGCGGTCTGTCATTATCGTTGTCCAAACCTAACCTCTCACCGCATTAAAAATAATAATCGATTAAAATCTCAAATATATCTCGATGCATCTTGTCACACAACAAACCACTTTTACGTATTAACTTCAACAAGAACACAAGAATATATTTCACGTACAAAACAATTCGAAATCACAAAACTTTGAACTTGCTACGATGAAAAATTGGGAGGCACTACAGTTGACGCTAACGTCGACAGAAGAATCTGATTGTAAACTGGCGACGGTTGACCGAGGTCCATCGATAAATCATCGTTAAACGGTCAGTATTATCGTTGCGGTTGCGCGGTTTCTGGCCCTCCCAGGCTCTCCTTTTCCGCGTCGCAATTGTTGCTGCTCCCGAGCCGGCAATTAATTCTTACCGATGCGGCGCTTTGTAATCGCCGCTTAATAGACGCGTCGGTATTTATCGCCAGCCGGTATATAATTAAACGCCGTCTGCGGGACGATCGGTTGCTTAACGCGAGTCGACGGGACGTGAGACGTATTTATTGCCAACGCGATTCAGCGTCGCCAGCAAAGTTCCTGGGACGTCGTCACGCTCCCGGATTTATGAAGTTTGGTCTGGCCTCTGGAGGGCTTTAATCTTAAAAAATTAATTAATTCGGACTTTTAGGATGGCCGTGATTTACCGGGTGCGCCTCAAGAGGTAACGCGTGTGTGTGTGACTCTGGTGATAAATCCGGCGAAAAAAGTAGGGTAGGAAGTTCGTACCAACTACCCGTAAACTGCTCATCAATTTAGAACAGACGCACCACGACTTTTTAGTTGAAACTGTATTAAATCTTCGTGTAAAAACTTGGAGCTTTTAACTTTGATAAATTCAACAGTGATGATATATGTTGACAATAATTAGTAGAAAGAATCTGTGCTTGTAATGGTACAATATGGTATTTGTATATAAGCATTGAATACCTGATATACAAGTTAGTAGTTATCTCGGTCGATTAGGTTAACGGCCTCATCGATTATAGGTTTATACTACTAGAATCGGTTCTTAACCTCCATGCTTGAATTAAGATACTCTTCTCATCAGAAACACTGCTTGTGTATGAAATTAAAGAGCAGTGAGGATTACTTATCTTCATAAGCCGTAAATTGAAGTGTGTGTTTTGAAATATAGACGATGATTCCTACTTATCTGAAAATATTAAATCCGATGAATAAAGTCTATATCGTAATAGCTTCATTCGACAGAAGGCAAAATATGTAATTGATGACAATTATTCTAATCTTATACCATCTTTATCATTACCATTATTTAAGCCTTGTTAACTAAATTGCTTATTAAAATTTGATTTTTGAAATCCTTTAACTAGTTGAAGTTCTGGTATTCCCTTTTCATCTATAGGAAACTTTAAATAGCATGTCATTTACTCTTCCATCCAATTTCGAGAGTTCTGAATATAGTTAAAGCTTTAATTAACTATTGTTAACTTTATCCAGTTAAATGAAATTAGCTATGCTACGAAACTCGATCTATAATAGAAAAGAAACGAAATACAAAAATTAGTTAACTTAAATTAGAATAATTACGTCTATTCGATTAGGTATATCCAAGCTTATCCATCTAGTGACTTGGGGTGTTTGGTGAAATGCAATGGGTTATATTTCAAAAGAAACTAAATAAAAATTCGACTGGTAGAAAATAGAAATGTCGAAACAAAGAGAGAATAAAAATTCCAAAACCAAATAAGCGTGGTAAAGGACACGAAGTGTTCCTTGGAAATTACAGTGAGCTGCATAAGATAGTGTAAATTATCGGTGTACTTTAACCAAGAGCAGCTCTCAACGAGCGTGGTTTATGTAATCCGCAGTATTACACGCCGAAGAATAAATTTCTCCGCAATCTAATCTCGTTCTATAAAGAACTTTAAATACCGTACGTCCATTGCTTGATACACGTAGAACAGATATGCTTGCTTAGAACATCGTACAATATCCTCTTACCAATAGAAGACAAAAACGGGTAGAAAAGCATGGCATTAAGGAAAGCCATTAGGCAGGTTCAGAGAGAAAAGCATTTCTCTTTTGACCCCATCAATCTATTCGATTTCAGGCGGCCAGGCAATCTTAAACATAACCACGTATCTATTTAACTTTCAACGACGTATCGATGCTTTCATCGACGCAAAACATCTCACTGCTTATTTGGTTGATGCCATAAAATGTTGAATTTCATTTATTAGAAAAGTCAGCATCAATTCCCTCTAAAAGGAAAAAGAGAAAGAGAAAAAAGAAACATTAGTAGGATAATAAAAAAGAAAAAGAAAAAAATGGAAAAAAAATTTCTTTTCAAATTCAATATATTCACATATTCGAACATAACCAACAAAATTCATTCGGGTATGTAAAGAACGTTCGGCGTTTACAGTCGTGCAATCTGCTTTGCTGTAACATTTAGCTTCGAATAGAGCGCTTATTATTTATGCAGAGAACTCGATATTACGCTAAGGTTCGGGCTCTCGCGCTTAACGGCGCTATTGTTTGATTCCCACTAGATACGCGCCTCCTTTTTTCCCCCTCGGCTAGTGCTGAACGTGTACACTTATCTTTCTTGAGGTTATGTAACGTGCAAAGGGCGAAGGAAAAAGAAAGGCCGACAATGAAAACCGAGAAAGCGAGGGAGAAGTTTCGATTCGCCAACGGTGAACCGTTCTAACTTAGCCGAGGAGGATCGATCGCGATTCTGGGCATAACGAGACAGGGACTTTCTACTCACGGTGCTCGTAAAGTTCAGCTACGTTCGTAATTTGCGGTTGCTGCGCGCGCAGTTATCGGATCCGTAGCGTGGCCCGCTAAACGATCTCGCCATAAAGGACGAGAGGCATCGGCCACACGTTCTTTGCTTTGCGTGAAAACCGATGGCAGACGCTTTCTAATGTGCCACTCGTGGAAAGGAAGAAACTGGACGACCAATGTGGATTGTGTTGTTTGTTCTTGAAGCGAATTAGAAGTGTTCGGTTTATTAGTCCACAGGATGCGTGAGTGGCAATAAGAGATTGAGTAATGGGAATAATTTCCTGTAACGAGAGGAGGTTATGTTCGAGATGAGTTTGTATTAAGTAATGAGTATTAATAAAATCAGTCTTGATTAAACTAAATTGTTCCGCAGTCTACTTGGGAGAACTTTCAAGTTTTCATAGACCACGTACTGGATGAAGTAACATTTTAAAATGTTTATTCATTTTATGTGATACACACGAGGTTATTAAATCTACATACATTGATCAGATGTCTGTTAATTTCTACCGTTCATTTTTATTTCTATTAATAAATATTATTAAAAAATCAAATTGTCTTGAAAGAAATATTCTGATATATGTCATTTATCAGATTTGATTTATCATTCCGCGTTTTATAATTCACTTAATTAAATACAATTTGATTCGTTCAAGCTTCACCATTAAATGCCTCCATAAATAAAGGCGTTTATAGCATGGACTCAATATGAATCTATTTACTCCAATATCTCTACAATGATACATTTTTTAAGTTGCATTGTCGCAAATATGGTTCAGTATAAATTTTTACCACTTTAATATTCTCCATTACAGAAAAAAATTACAAATAATTAACAACTGTGATTTACCAAGTTAAGCAATGCTTATTTCATTGCATCACAGTAGAATTTATAATGAAATCGAGGTAAAATGTCCGCATATAATTGATATAATGAATGAAAATTACTATCAAACACGTACTTCAATTTAAAAATTTTTTTGTTCAGAAACATAGATACTCGGCTACATGATTTATTACGATTTTATTCAAAAAAGGAAATAAGAATGGTGAAGATAGATAACAAATTTCTGCGACCATTCGATGAGTGAATACTCGGGAGTGGTATTATTCACGATCCCTCGAGCGTGTCTATATAATTTCTCATTCACACAATGGTGTATGAGTGATGCATTCGCACCGCGTTGCGGCAATGCAACTCTATTTTAATATATCGATTCATGCACATCGAAAGCATGAACGAAACTTTTATAAGGCCATATGTACGACTTTAGAAGTAACAAACGAGGCGGGTAAAGAGACGAAAACTTTTACCCGAGTTAAACTTACCATCAAGGTTATACGTTTATTAACTGTTCTACTAGGAAGTGAACAAGTTGGCAATCGTGTTCCATTTCCGAAGCATAGACATCTTTTCATTGGACTGGCAAGTCGTCGTATCGATTTTAAATGCATATTAACGGATGCACCAAGACAGAATTTCGAGTGTTCTAAAAATATTTGATAATTAATATTTAACTTACTTTTATGATATTTTGAAGGACTTTTAATTTAGCTTTTACAATCTACGTTAGTGAATTTATCCTGGAGTCATTTTAATTTTGTTATAATTTTTTTGAAAAATTTAGTACCTTAACTTTTAATTAAAATTTTTGGGAACAAATTTATTCCATTTATTAATCCTCCTTCTCTTCTTCTCCGTTTGTGAAATTCAACCCATTTCGAAAAATTGGGTTTTTAATTAAAATAAATATTTTTCCTTATTTTTCACTTGATTAATCATATTTCTAATGGTATTAACAACGTCACTCATTTTACTGCAAAAAATTCAATAAATAATAAATTCAGTACCAGTAGAATAAAAAAATTAATACAAAATCCGAATTTCTATGTATGTACGTGATATAAGAAGCTTTATATTTCTTCAACAAACGTGTATTGCACACAAGACTGTACGTTTTAAATAAAAGATATTACTCCTCCATAGAATCACATGCCATCAAATTTAAAAAATGATGCAATAAAATTCAACATATATTGTCTGTGTAAAAATAATGGCCGCAATATTTGTATCGATAACTTTAACCTACAATTAAGTATAACCGCAAAAAAATTATTTAAACAATTGGCAAAAATAATTAACAAAAATAAGAAACATTGTTGAATTTCCACTTACTTCCACTGATAAAACTTCTTTTTAGGACAAAATTCCAAAATACACGAGAGATCGGAAAACGGGTCGACAATTTTACGACTTGACAAAAAGAATCGTTTCATGGCTGTAGAATCCAATATTTTCCCGAAAAATCGTCAAACACTGCAGACAAAGAAAGAAATGTAGGTCGTGACTTTACCATCTTGAAAAAAGAATTATTTTATTATTGCAGAATTCAACTTTTATGCAACAAATAACAAGAAAGTTATAGGTTACGTGAAAACGTAGATCGACGATATTACCCTCCCTGAGAATATTTGTCAACACGTGCAATTCAACTTTCAGTTGAAAAAGTGTCGAAGAAGCTGTAGAAAACGAGGAAAAATATTTTACTCAATTAACTTCTCCATCCCACAGTTCTCTGCAACTCTCTCGCATATAACCGATAATAAACTTCGTACGTATACATTCTAACCTATATTATGCACGTAACACAAACTGAATCACTTAATTCCTTTGAACATTTGTTGCAGATAAACTCTTCGCAGCATTGAAACATAAGAACGAAACACCTTTATCGTAAAAGGGTATATCGTGGAGAAGAATTTTCAAACTGAACACATGCAATGAAACATCGCACGAGACAAGCACGAGGCCGATCCTATTTACGAAACTTGCATGCGGCGACGCGGTCCGCTCGGTGGAAAAGAGCGGCAGCTTTGAAACGGCAAGATTAATTGCGAACTTATTCCGCGCTTACGTACGTCGTGAACGCACAGGGAAATATTTGCCCGGTCCTCTTCAGAACTATGCACATAATTACGACGCGTCAAAGGAAGTTTCAGCACTGCAGTGGCGCACGTTACAAACGCGTTAAATTCACAATTAATTTTGTTTCGACTTCAAAGGGCTTTCGATAAGAATGGTAAACAGTTTCCAAGATATCATAACCTTTTTCATTTATCTTTGATAAATAACTTTTCCCTCTCGATTTATTTAGGTCATAATGGCTTGACTTCGACAGGAGAACTTGGTCACATTCGAAAGTAGCTTTCGTCGATCGGAAGTATTGATTAATTTGCTATAAATTTGGGTGACAGAGTAATTTAATATTTCAAACGTGACGTGGCTGAAATAAGAGCTTGACAATTAAAAATTTAGAAAACGGTTGGAACCTGCCTGTTATTAATCTGTTAATTAATACGTTACTTGGATCATTTTCTAATTATAAATTAATTCGAGCCTAGAGTTAAAAAATTATAGATATGAATTAATTTTAGTTAGATTAGCTGTAATTTTGGAAAATAATATATCAAAAAATGAAAAAGCTGAGAGAATGAATTACCATATTCTATAATTTCACGGTTAACAATGAATTCTTGTATATTTCTGCAAGCAATGCATGTGCGTGTTACGTGCCTTGTTATACTTTTCTATGTCCCTATTCCCAATTTCTTTTTCCCTAAAATATAAAATCCTATTACTTTCTACGTATTTAGGAAATTAAATACACAAATCAAATAAGCTCTCACCTATATATCACTCGTATAATATTTACGAGCATAAAACATACATATTCTCGTGCAATAAAGCTTCGTATGTTATAAACATATTAATACGGACGCACATAACCAATTACAGAAATTCACGTATGTACGTTCCATAAATGTTTACACGTTACCAGTTTCCCTTTGAAACGCACTGGTATTTTAAAATCAAAGTAATTGCTTCAATCAGAATTCCTACAGAAGTAAGATAAGTGTATACACCACTTGGCGATACAAAAATACGATTAAATTACTCGGAACGTTCAGAACCAATCCATTAAACGTACAACCTATAAACCACTCCATCACCAAGACCGCTAACCTACCCTTAAATAAAAATCTCTCGCCTGCGCGCGACCGCCAAACATATCTGCTTACACGAAGATGCGCCCTCACCTTGTACCACACCATAGGCTCAAGTTGAACCAATCACAAACGCCAACGGGTTGCTCGTTTTTCGGTACATGTAGACGAGCGCTGCGCGCAGAGAACGTAACTCCCCATCGCGTCGCGCAACACGGTGATGAACAACGGCCGACCAAAGGTCGATCTTTGATCAGCGCTAATTTCATTACCAGCATCGCGATGGCCACGGGTGAACGGATTGGTCGGGGAGTGGGGGGAGGAAGGAACGAAAGCGGAAAACGCGTGAGAGACAGATCCCGCGGAAGAGTTGGCTCGGTGCGCAGCCGGATACCTGATATCGGTATTAACTCGACCATAAAGCATTCCGCAGGCCCCGTCCACAAAGTGATTGCGATTGCACCTCGGGCATTACAACGCGCAGATTTATGAACAGGGGTTGCCTCGAACGTAAGTCAAATCCCCTCAGGACCCGTTCAACAGAAAATCGTTTGCACATATGCTGCTGGAGGCAGCGCGCGCGCATCCCTGAGAACACTTCTATATACAGGGTGTTCGTTTTGTTTCACTGGCTAATGAATTACTTCCTTGTGGAAGAGATATCGATCTTGAATATTTAAATTACATTACAATTAAATATTGAACGCGGAATCAGTTTTAATTTGAGGTTAGGATCGAATTGGTAGTCAATCTGTTTTAGACGATTATTAAAATTGATGAACAGTCTTGACTCTATCGAGAAGATTCCGATTCCGATTGCCAGAATCCTTAGTGTCTGGAGGATGTTGGAGACGTTACAAAATGCGTTCCGCAATGCGGGAACCGCGGAACCAGCTCGATGCCAGCTGTGCAGAGATCAGAGTGCCAAGGGGAAGCGGTCTGAATATTTGACACCTTAATATGCGCGGTAAATAATGGAGAATTATGGAAAGGAAAGATATATTATTCCAAGTTTAATATTGGTCGTAGCGGATGTGTAGGTGATTCTTTACTCTCTTACAGTGGAGAAGCACCTTGACAGTGGAAGTACAACTTTTGGTATATAAAGAGAATAGTAGTCATATTTGTATGGGAAAAATAAATAGCTATATATATATAAGATGCACATTTTCTCTGTTAATCACCTACGTTAGAGACACCCTGTATATGTTTCCTCTTAAGTAATTGCTTCGTATCTGACGATTCTTCCATTCAGTAATTATGTTACTGCTAACTAACGTTTATTCATTACAATTGGACACCCGGCATATACTACAAATTTCGCACAGATATAGACACATTGAATTTCCATATGTAGAAGCATCTGTAATCAGTAGGTTATGGAATATTAATGAATAACATACGTTTTAATCATTCCTATATTACAAATAATTACGTATTGATAAAAATTGATTTATTTCGAAAATACCGATATCCAGGCAACCAATTAGTGAATCACCCTGTATATTCCAAGTATTAAAATGTCTAAACCAAAGGTCACCTTAATAAAGTCTATTGTCACTCCAACTTATTAAATACTGACACTTCTAAAACAATTTGTGGATCACTCTGTATATCCGATTTATTGTTTTACACACTTCAAACATTAACTTCACCCTAATAGTCTATGTCCATCGTCACCTTAATAAAACCTTCGACCTGTTCTCAACCGGGCCCACCACTACACAAGCCCTAGCATGCAATCCGCGCCGGTAAACCCCCATTTCGCTAAGAATAGTAGAAATATCTGGTCGATCGGTAACCCTACGGGGTTAAACGCGCTGCTTGCAGAACCGATCGTCCAGGTCAACTGCTCGCGTTTCATTTGTAAATATACTTCCGCGTAGCTGGGCTAGCAGTAATGGCCGTTCGAAATTGCTCGATCTCGATAAAATGCACACGAACTTCTCGGACACTGTGTATGCGAGCGCGCACACCATCTCGCGGCGGAGGTGCACACACGAGAGTGGCCGTGCGTGTGTGCCGATACAGCCGAGTGCGCACGCGCACGCAAATATCTGCTTGCAATTTTACAGGAACTCATCCTCCCTCGGAATTTATACTTCTCGTTATCTTCTCGCGCGTGTACGCGTGTGTACTCGTGTGCGAGGGTCGGGACAATTTCGTGAGGAAAAGTTAACGTTTGCGGCACGCCAGCCGCGGAAGCAAGGAATATTTCATTCCGCAAGATCGTTTGCTTCGTTGTGCGCCTTGACTACCTCTTTGGGAAGACGAATAGGTCGGGGTGCGTGCCTTGTTAACGAAAACGGGAACATAAGTTTGCGCTCGAGGTGTGTTAACTGGTTTACAAATATCGACGAAATAGACGGGCAAAGGTTTGTTTAAAGGAGAGGGGGAAGGTTGAATGATTACTGCGTTGGGTGGCTGGCTTTCAGAGGAAGGATGTGGCTTCCTTTGTGTTTGTGGCAGATGAGAGCTGCGGTGTGAACGGTTCCTGACTGTGTGAACGTGATTGGGTGAGCAATTCTGTGTTTATTTATCTTTATTATATATACATTTATTTATTTATTCAATACAATTTTTAATAACCCTGAATCGGCACCTGTCACGCTATCTACCTTTTTTCGTTGGCAACACTTTACCTCACAAGTGGCGCCAAATTCAAATCTTGCGCGAATTTTGGAATCTAAAGAACCGAAATCTTTCACAATTATAATTTTCGAATAATAAAATGAAAATTAAAAGAAAGAAAAAAATATTCGATATATTACAGATGTTATATTATAAATAATCCATGATAGGTTATAAACAAAGTATATAGAAGAAATAAAATTCAGAGGAATTTCTCTATGTATAAATCCTGCCATTTATAAAATCGAAAGAGCTGACTTAAAACGAATTTCATGATTCTTTTCAATGACTTATCAAGAAAGCAATAGTCGAGAGAAGTTCCCATCCACACTCAGGATGCTGAGCAAACGCAAAATCCCTGGGAACATCATTTTTTGCAACAGTTTGAAATACTTTTGAGAACTGTCGTTGCACCGTCGTAATGGACGTCCGAACCAAACGTTCTAAACCTGATTTCAACTTCTGGAGTTTCTTTCTGCCAACTCGAGAGCTTCATCAAGCTCTTTTACCCCGAAAATAACACCCCATTATTAATATCCGAATGCATACAAGCCAACTAATACAAAAGATCAAAACTCAACCTTTCAAACAAGACCACGAATCTTTGAATAAATAAACGACAAAAGAAGAGTAGAGTGTCATAGTGATTTACGACTTTTGATTTACTAAAATTTCAATGATCTGATAATGATTCATTTACAGCGAACTTATTTTTGTACACGACAGTAAACTGACAAATGATGATTGACTATAACAATTTTGTATACATCTAGAAGATTTTCTGAGCGAGTACTATAAGTCTTGCACCGTGCTTTGTAAACACCCTGTATAGTAGTAAATTATAATATTCTTTTTACAATATTTTATAAATCCTGCTATATTCTCTATAGTAAAATTTCTAAACGTCAATTGAATCACGCGAAATGAGAAATTAACATTGTCACCTAAATCATCATACATATACTGATGATATAATAATATGGAAATTTTAAGTATTACTCAACTTCGAGAGACACCCTATAATCAAGCTCTTAAACTCAACGATCCATATTTCACAATTTTTCTTTGGATACCGCGCGGTAATTCGCGACAATTCGACTGTGAAAGTATCGTGGACCGAGAACAAAGCTGCGACATCTAGCGGAGAAGGCACCGTTACTCGCGAAACGCAGGGAGTTGCAGAAAAACTTGGTATTCCTATTGGATCGTGTGACGGGAGTCGAAAGCAAACATTCTAAATCAAATTTCTGATTCCGTGCCAGAGTTTGCGTCCTTCCAATCGAGGAAGCATTTCCGTGAGACCTGTGCCTACGTGAGAGAGAAAGGTTTGCGTGTCAAAGTTCGAGTCATCGGTCCCGGGGTGAAGTCAGCCTGAAATCCAAGCGGAGGAACGGGTACACCGAGGATAAAGGTGCAGCTGTGGCTCGGTCCATTAACCCTCGAAAGCCAAACGG